AACGCAATCACAAACCCCTATTAACATACAATGCTCCAAATTTTATGAAGAAAAGTGTAATGTACTTTCCTTTCCTTTCATAGGTGGATGTCTAAAGGTATGAATGTACCATTACATTTTGTATTGGATTTTTGTACTTCATAGCCTTAGTTCTCCTGTTAGTATATATCTATCCCTCACATATGTGGTTTATATATGGAATCTAAAATATTTTTGCTTTAATTGGAATGATGGTGATGTGGGGGCCTCTCACATCTCTAATAAAAATAGCAATTTAGAAGGCAGGTGAAAGTGACTGGACTTGTGTTACGTTGCGAAGATGTTCTTGGTAAAGCCATGACCTGGGCTCCACTATTTTCCCTGCCATTCAGGCTGGTAACCTATTTCTTTGTGACTTCCTTCTCCTCTTACCTCATTTCCAACTATCCATTGCTGTCTGAAACTTGTTAGAGTAAATTAAGTTATGCTATAGTAACAACTTGAAATTTTTCATGACTTACCACCACGAAGGTTTATTTTTTTTGCACATCGATCGTAGGTTACCCGTTTCATGTTGTCATGGTGGGACCCAGGGTGATGGCACATTCACTGTGGATACACAGCCAGTCTCATGCAACGGGGAAAGAAGAAAAATGGCCAGCCACATCCTAGCTCCAAAAGGTTTGTCTTGGAAGTGACACATATTATTTCTGCGTACCACTAATGTCCCAAGCAAGTTACACGGTCAAACGTGATGTTGGCAAGGTGAGAAGGGGCACAAAGAGGAGAATTGGTGTTTTTGAGGAAGAATAATGCAATCCACCAGGGTCCAATTTAGATTTAGCTGAGATACTTTGTTGGGACCACATCTCTCTACAGAAAACCATTAGAATTCTTACTTCTTATCCTTTTTTCAGTTAGAATTTGACTTCACGAAAACAGTTTGAGATTAAAAATTGGAAGATTCCCATCTTATTAAGATTTCAGTGCTATCTGGTGTGTCTCTTCTCCAATCAATATTTTCTTATCACATACTAGGTGCAAATCATCAAGTTAAAGTACTGGCCCTGCCTTAAGAGAAATTACAATACAATGGTTGAGAAACATGTAAAGTCAGTTCGCTACACAGGCATATGTATTTGTAATTCCACACTGTAGGAAACTTCTTCCCATTGAGTTTACCAGATAGTTTTTATTTTGAATTTTAGGTTTTTATATTACCAGAAATACTCATTTTTAAAAAGTCACATTACATTTCCTAAGGGCAAGAGATGTTATTTTGTTTATGTTGTCTTAGTATAGTATTGCATCTTAGAATTTTTCTTTACCTTTGTCATATCCCGTACAAATTTTCCCAGGGTGAGGGCAATTAGGTGTTTGTTTGCCTAGTGCCTTAGTCTTATACTTCTTTCGAAAGAGGTAGAAACTTGGTTTATGAACTCTTCTTTTCTTCTTTTGCCCACTGGATGGTGGAGAAGTTTGCGGAGGTGATGGTGAGCAGGAAAAACTTCTTGGCATGTTGTCAAAACTCACGGAGAGGCCACCTGCTTGGATGTCAGTGGAACTTGCTGGATGGTGCGAGATTCTGGATCTCTACATGTCACTGGTCATGAAGCCACCTGCTGGCCACTGCTGTAGGAGCAAGAAAAGAACCAGAACGAGGAAGAGAGGCCTCTTGTCTTGTCTCTGCAGCATCCTCTACTAACACTGTGCTGTGTGGCAAAGGAAAATACAAAGGTCCAGCTCCAAACGTGAGCAAAGAAGTATGGATTTGGAGCCAGAAAGCAAGAAGTTGATAACTGGCACAGTAACTATATCATTTACTGCCCAAGCCAGAAAGCACAATGGACAGCTATTAATATTTATACCAAGCCATTAGGTGTGAACTATTAGTGTCCCTGGAGAAACTAGAGACATGAAAACTCCCTTCGTGGGAGCTGAGTCTTAAGGGGTGAATAGAATCGGGGTACGGGGAAGATGAGAATCAGTGAACACTGAAGATGCAGGGAGCAGTGTGGGCAAAAGAAATGGGTGCTAGGGGGTATGGAACAGATAAACTTAGTGTGTGGTGTGGCAGAGAATTTCAGGCTTCTCTTTACTTAGAGTGGTTCATCTTTTGAAACTGACTTATGACTGTGCAAAAGTGATACCATACAATAGAAAAGGTACTTTGATTATAATCATTCTGTTTTTCACTTTAAGTGTAGTATTCAATAAAATACATGAGGTAGTCAACACTTTATTATAAAATAGACTTGTTGTTAGATGATTTTGCCCCACCGTAGACGAATGTAAGTGTTCCGCACACGCTGAAGGTAGCCTAGGCTATGATGCTTGGTAGGTTAGGTGTATTAAACGCACTTGAACTTACAATACCGCCAACTTGTGATGGATTTATCAGGATGCAACCCCATCATAAGTCAAGAAGCATCTATAAATGTAAAGATGAAATGATTGTGATATTTGAGTAGAGTATTTGGACGAAAGACAACTTATTGTCTTAATATCAAATCCCATAAATTTGGAGTTATTCTTTATAAAGCATATGCATTTCACTTTCCATGATTCCTATCTTTAGGACTTGAAGTATTTACATCAAGCCTTTATTGTGCTGTGCGATATACTAGAATTCTCCATCTTATGTAGGCATACAATTCAGTTGATAAAAAAATGTATTTGCTTGGGTATCCTGAAATTATTAATAGATGAAGGAAACTTAGTGGAGAATTTGTTCACAGTCTATCTTTGGATATGATTATATTTTTTTGAAGTTTTATTTTGTGAAACTTATATGTCTAGATAAGAGAAAATGGAAAAAAATGGAAAGTTCATTTTTCTGCAATATATAGTACGATTTATACACAAAAGAAGTCTATGTAGGTTATTTTACAGTGTTTGTTTGCAGGTCTGTTTGTGTGTGTGTGTGTGTGTGTGTGTGTGTGTGTGTGTGTGTGTGTGTTTATTTGTGTAGATTAGAGTATTCTTCGCCTACATTCTAGGAACAAATATGAATAATTTCAAGAACTAAAGCAGGTGATTTTTCTCCAATGTCTTCCTGCATCACCTGAATGCAGCCCCCAGTGATAAGACCCCTTACCAGAAGCCTGTTACCCAAGTTCTTTACATAGATGGTGATGAAATGGAGGCTCAGGAGTGAGAAGTGGTTTGCTCAAGCCACCAGCTAGTTAATGGTGGATGCGGTATTTCTGCGTCTCAGGTCGACATCCTTTCTCTCCCACCAGGATTTCTTGCTTTTCTCTAAACCTAGGGAGGTATAAGCATCAGAACTTCAGTACCTGAATTTCACATGTAAGTGAAAGTGAGCCCCTGAGCTATGCCTCTGGACATTTTCTGTCTAGATAAAGGGTTGCTGGGTTGAACTACTGTGTTTCTGGACACAGACCCTACAGAGTAATCTTTCCTTCTTCCCCAGTGCTCTATTAATGTACTTTTGTTCCTTTTCCTTCTTGTCCAATTCCCCCAAATCTCAATTATTTCCCCCTCCTTTGTGGAAAGTTTACAGAGACTGTGTTCTTTTGGAATGCAGGGGTCATACTACAGACCCTAACGGGTCTCCCATCTTGTGTCACTTCTCTAGCCATGTGTCCCCACACTGTTCCCTCCACTCTACAGTATTTCCTGATCCTCTGGTCTCCAGAGTCCCTGGTCTAACCCTGACATCTGGTAAACCATGTTGGAAAAGCTTTTTCTGGAATTTCTATACATCCTACACATTCCAGATAATAAATGAAAAGTATTTGGGAAAAAAATGAGGGAAGAACAATCCTCAAAACTTTACTTTAGATTGATTTATTGGCTGACCTCTCTGTACCTTTCTAACAAAATTGCTATTAAAAACAGACCCATCTATTTCAATTCACCATATGTGACCCCATTAAACTCATGGCCTGCCTTCCATTGTATGGAACTCTATGGAGATTTGCAGGCCTATTTCCAGCATTTAACTTCTATGGTAAAAACCAATGACTTCAGTGATAACTGAACAGGAGGGAAAATACTTTTAAAAAATTCCATTTCAGAGATCACTATAAAATCTATTATTATTATTATAAAATGTTTGAAAACACTTACAAATGCAAAGTATTTCTCAGTCTCTCTACCTATCTCATTTTTGGGGGAGGTAGTGTCCATGCAGAAAGAACAAAGGTTGTGATCAGCTTATGTATTTATTTATTTTGTCTTTGACATTAGTCATCACTTTTTGTGGACAGTCATTACTTCCTGCACTAAATACTAAATGAACTAAACATTTATAGAAATCTTAGGACTGGATAGTTATTCCTATTGTCTTAAATCTATGTTTCCTGAACTATTAAAATAAGTACATAAAAATTCACAAGGCAGCTTTATTAACTAGGAAAAGTTTGAGAAAAAACACAATAATGTTTAAAGAAAAAAATATCTGATTTGTAATAATAGCTATTCAATCTTGTCAGAAAGCCTTCCTTTGTAGAAGGTCTATAGTGCAGAAAACTATAAAGTGGCATCTCCAAAATTGTGCAGAGTCACACTGTTTTTTACTCCTGCATGATTTAAAAATATGTGATAAAGTAAGAGAATTGGAAAAAAACTCTCTTCCCATACCCTGTCTGGCTAATTCAGACCAACTGGGAAAAATCACATGATGGACAACACATCAAAAATTCAGGCTAAAAAACTGCCAAATCTATGAATAGCAGATATGGGAACCAGCCCAAGGCTTGTGTGTAGAAGGGTGACAGATAAAAATAGTGCCCTAAATTTTTCAAAGGTGATTTGAAACCTCCCAAGTATAGATGACCTTGCTACTGAAAATAAGATGACAAGGGCAAAGTTGAAATTGTGACCCCTTTCAGGGGTCTATAGACTTGAACTAATGTTCAAGAAAGAAGGGCTGCTTTTTCCCTTCATCAGCAAGCTGCACACAGGCACAGAGCATTTCTTTTTCTTTGACAAATTCTTAATATATTTATCCTTCTCCTTTGCTCCTTTCAAAAAAGAAAGGCAGCAGCTCAGGATCCCGAGTTTTCAAAGCATCCCATTTTAGGTTCCCTCCTGTTGATGGAAGCAATGTCTAGAAGACAAGAAGTAGGCTCAGTGTTAGAATAATATAGTGAAAAAAATTCTCACATCATAAACCATTTCTTTTTTGCTGGGCATTCTTCACTGTGCCTCTGCCTCCACACTGTGCCTGAGACCAGTGAAGATGTGGCTTGCAGCTGCTTAAATAGAAAAGTTTTCAAAACTTGCTGTTCTCCATATCAACTAGGTACAAAGATAAAGTCTACACCACTTTTTATTATTTTATGTTTTGAGAAGGGAAGAAAGAGTGCACTGCAGGAGGAAGTGCTGCTGTTTGTCAATGTCCATTTCTAAAGTTCCTTGCATCTCTTCCATGCCCTGCTGTTGATTAAAATATCTTTACATGTCTCCAAGGCTCTCTAAGCTGGATGGGGAGAGTTTGGTGACAGTGTGGAACACCATTAGTGAGATTTCTTTTGGTGACAGACAGATGTAAATGTATCCATCTAATTCTCTCCTCTCAGGTCTCTGTCTGCAGATGGATGTTAATAATTAGCAGTTGCATCTCCTCCCTCTTTATCAAATTGGATTCTCCATAAATTCATCATTTCTTTTTTATTTTCTCAAAGTAGCAGCAGCCCTGACAGCCTCCCTTTGTTCTTGTGTTTATAAATAATTTATAACACAGAAATATCTCTCCTTAGTCTTAAAACATAAACTAATGGAATAACACAACATATTGGCCCAAACTATAATACTTTCTACTTGGGGAGGAAGCAAGCCTTGGGGTGGGGAAGTGTATAGCTTCATTCTTAACAAAGGGAAACTGAAGATGGCATGGAAAAAAAAAATCACATTTACCCACCTAAATGTAGTCTTTTGGTTTTAATTCCGATCTTTTCTTCCAGATTCTAGTAGGGTAAGGGAGTTCTAGACAGTACAAGCAAATTCTTTTGTGATTTCTTTTCTAAATAGTATACCTTGCTTGAATTCCCAAATACACAGTGCATTTCATTAAGCTATACAGAAAGGAGACTATTATTCAATTAAAACATCCACAGATGCTAAAAACATACCATGGTACATTTATTCAACAACTGTATGCTCATAACCCATGCACAATCTTTAAATACCAAATTACAGGGATTTGGTCCAAATTAGCAATAAAATACAATGTGTTTGCCCTCTACTGGGTAGTAATGACTGTAGTTTTCCTTGCATACCCAGTGGCCTTGTAGGCAGCTTCATAATGGTTTTATTTAGTCACTATCACAGTGTTATAAACAAATATGGCTAAGATTTGTGCTAATTAAGGTAAGTAGAACAATGTTGAATCAGTTTTTCTAAGCTAAGATCTTCCGTGGAGGTGGTTTTAAAATCTTTCTTATATTGCTCTAGGCTTGCACATCACATCATAGGAGATAGCTTATAAGTCATCATTTGATATCCTGGAAATATATTCAGGTTGTAGATAAATAATCCGCCTAACAATGCTAATGTAGAATGTCTGGCATGTAATTTAGATAGGAATCTGAACACCTCCTTACATCAGCTGTTAAGATTTTGCACTGAAGCAGAAATAACGTCTTATCTTCCATCTGGAAATGGGACATAGAATGGTGACACAAGTTATTTACAGAGTTACTGCAAAACAAGAGCAGTAACAGAGTAACTACAAAGCAACTCCCTGGATTACTGCTGCAATATAATGCCAGATAAATAATCACGCCAGGGTAAATAAATTGGGAGATGCCTTATTTTATAGAGCATAAATGTAACTCACATTGCTGTTGGGGTGGAGCTTTCCTTCGCATGTTGATTTCTGAAGCATCTTTCCAAGTCCTAGTTGACCCTGCAGAGCTATAAAGTGTGCATAGCACATTTAGCACCATTTCTACCTCTCAGGAAGTTGGGGGAGGAAGTCACATCCACTGCCAGGGATGAAGCCTCCTCTCCTTGCAGTCCAGAAAGACAAACATACCTTTAGATTTAAACTCACTGAACGAAGAGACTGGGTTAGACTGGAGAGGAATTTGGCTGGTATTCCAGGTCAGGTCCTCTCTCACGGTCCCAATTGTCTTGCTCTTGGCAAATGATTTATTTTTCTCTTAAAAATGGTGTGGGATTAATATCCTGACTTGGGGCTTTGGAATGTTTTCTCCCCAGAAACAGCAGCCAGCATTATTGGTTGGAATGATTCAGGCATGAAGCATTAGGGTGTTTCTTTCAGGCATGAAGCATTAGGGTGTTTCTTTCTCTCTCTCTCTCTCTCTCTCTCTTTTTTTTTTTTGTCTTGCTACTGGGGGACAAAATAATTACTGACTTGTACCACAGGCTAACAATTAAGAAGAAATGAAATCCTTTCTTTGGCTTAAAAACATTTCTACATAAGCACTCCTGCCCCTCCTTGCTGCCCCACCCACAGATCTTTCTCGGCTCTGCCCTTATCTCTGGGGTCTTTCTGGGGCAGGGATATCGCAGCAGATCTCAGAGAAAAGTATTTTTTATTCAAAGCACAGACTGGGAAGTGGCCTAGTGTCTACTTTTGTTGTTGTTGTTCCTTTGGAAATTGACATACGTAACTTGACAGAATGTGCAGGTGGGGGTGGCTGTGGGTAGAGGTGAGGAAGCAGGATGAGAACACTGCCCGATTGGCACAAGACTTCACATGAGGAAATCACGGTGTTGGCTTCAGAAGAGGACAGTTTGCTGCCCTTGAGAGTTCTGAGGGGAGGAAAAAGAAAATCCCGCAGAACTTAGTTAACAGATAATATTCAGTTTAATCATGGTCTGGCGGGATAAGAGCATCTTATAAAATTCTGGAATTTTCCTTACTGCCTACTGTGTCATAACACATAAGGCAGAGAATTTGTCTCTCCATTCAGGTCCTTGCCATCTTGCTAACTCTGTGCTTAGTTAAATGGCTGAAGATATTTTGGTTTGCAAGGCAATTCTTGTTCCCAGCTGCAATAAACTGCTATTATTAATTACCTCCTTTGGCCTAACATTATGCCTTTATAACACACAAATTGTCAGGTTTTCTGCGATTTTTGGAAGGCTGTGCCATACACAAAGGCATTAAGCTTAAAACAATAGGGGCTGCTTATTTGATAGTAGAAGATGTCAGGTGGAGACAAGCACACTTGGCTAGAACTGACTTGAAGCTCGTCACAAGGAAATAAGGGTGAGGTGATCACAGCACAGCATTAACGGCGCGTGAGAGACACACAATTCTACATGGCGGCTTCCATCATGCATTTCCCATGGAAGAAGGGGGGAAATGGGCTCTGAGTAAATGATGGGTGAATACAGAATCAATTGTGGTGTATGACAAGACACTTTCTCTCTTTGTTTAATATATAAATCAGGAGCACTTATGAATTGATATTAATTAAAATAATGTATTTGCTTTCTTTCAACAGTAATGTCAGCCTTGTTAAAAAACGGAACGCTAAATCTTCATTAGACTTTCAATATTAAAAATCTTGCATGAAATATGAATTAACATTTAACTTGTTGCTAGTTAGATTAAAGGGGAGAGAATGCAGTAGGCGTTTAGCACTGTGGACAAAAGCTGAAGCAGCTTTCCCAAGCCTGGGAATGTATCGGCGTCCAGAGACTGCCTGGATCAGGGAGTCACCATCATTACCTTCTAACAGGGGTGACTGCATCCCACGTGGAATTATGGAATGCTATCGCCTCCATAGAATCAAGTTCATATCAAAAGGTGAAATGCATGGTGAATAAGCAAATCAACAAAATGCCCGAACATGCAAATTTAGCTTACGGAGGTCCTTAGAGCTTTCTGTCAATATATATTTCGGGATAAGAACAAAACATTCTTTGTTTTAGAAGAAAGCCCATACACATTTCACTGTTCCACAGTCTTTTCCACACATGGAAAAATTACGAAAACCCAAAGTGTTCTTGTTACTTAGCTTTGTTAAATTTTTAGAAGTCAGTGACTACTTGCAGGGGGACCAGTGGGTAAAATGCTTTTGTTCATTTTCTCCAGACAGATGGATATTTGATGTCTTCTGATCTCGTTGCACTGGTGGCCTGAAATTAGAACAGATATAATTGGAATGACCAGGCTGAGACCTCATATTGCATCCAAAAATACATTATGAAACTCCAATGAGCTTATTGGCAATGTGTTGTCTTAGGTGAAAGCTACTCATAAATGCACTTGCTTATAAAGTACACCATTGATCTTATAATTACATTCCACCTGGATTTATGCGTTTGGAAAATGTGATTGAATTTTAGACCTCTTTCCTGGGGTGGTATGTACATGCATAGCAAGACCACAAGGTGGTGGTATGGTGTCATCATATTTCTTTTAAGAACAACAAGAAAAGGGGGTTTGTTTAATGAGCTTGCACTCACAAGCCTGCTCATCTAGTGAACTGTGACTTTTCAAATACCAACCTATTAATGTCAAAGGCAATACTGAAGGGAACAGTTCTGTTTGATTTAAAAAATACAGACAATGTGAAGTCCACTATGGCCTAGTATCTATCACCTATGGGGCTCCATTCATGCCTAATGCTTTATTCAAGCTAAGACCTAGTTTTTATATATCAGATTAATACATATCTACAGCTTTGCACCTTTCTAGTTTGATTTTTTTATCATCAGGGCTCACCAGGGCCATTTTCATTCCCTTACTAGAGCATCTGCAAGCAGGTGGATTAGAGATAACTCTCATTGTGCTTTGTTTTTCTCCCGACACTGTCATTAATCATTCCTTAAGCCACACTTCAACTTCTAGTAATCAGGACTGGCTGCTCCTGAGCTGCACGAGAATTGCCTCTCGCAGTGTAATATGGAATTGGAAGCGAATGACTGAGGCCAGACGCCTCTTCTGCATTCCCCATCTATCTCATCATTTAGGTATTTATCCATCTCGGGCTTGTACAGAGAGCACCTCTCTCCTTCCCATGAGGGCGCAGATTGCAACAGAGGATCAGATTTGTTACCCAGGCTTTGGGCTTTGATTGTCCTCTTATAAGTTCAGGATTAAAGTGAAATTTCCCACAGGGCTATGCAGGATTTGCTAGCATTTAACTGTTTAACCTGGCTGTTTGTGAATGAGAATCCTGTGGTCAGCTATTCCGTAGAGAATATTATGGTAAGCCGAGCCTGAATGGTACACATTCCGGTGTGTTCCTGTAAAGATGGGCGCAGTTGATTCCAATTAACTTCATATCTGATACCGGTTGTTTTTATGTACACAGAGAGCAGTGACACCAAGTAAAAAGTGAAAGCATTCCCTTTTATGAAATATGGATGTCGGTTTTAAATGAATGCAAATCTGCTCCCTCAAAATTACGATTTCCACTTATGCTTTTTACACTAATTGGAGAATTAATCAGTCTTGCATTGGGTTGTTTTCTATTTTATGTAGTTGTTTTATGTTCTCTGATTTGTTTATCAATTCTAATCTAAGGATGATTTGATTCTTTATTCAACATACCTTTGAATATTACCAAAACAGAAACAGAGTTATGAATTTATTTACATTTACTGTATTCACGATGATAAACACGTACTTAGGTTATATGTAGAACCTAAGAAGACACAATTTCCTAAGTCTTTGTTATTTCTGAAGAGTCTTCTAATGTGTTCTTTATTCCCAAAAGCAAAGCAATGAGAAATTGGGGAAAGGACTATTCAAAAATCAAGTCCATATTATCTGGTTTTCTGTTTGTTTGTTTAGATTTTAATTTAATTTTAAAGGAAAGATTTGAAAGAAATCAAATCATTCTTTTACCTAGTGTTGATGAGATTGTATGCCTAGCCACTGAAGTTATTCTGCTTACTGTGACTATGTTTTAAAAATTTCTAAATAGGTAGTATTCATTTTACGTGCTTCATCAAAAGAAACAGAACAATGAGGCAACAGAAATACGGACTTTAGCAAACCATTTTAATCTAATGGTAAAACTGTTCTTTTGCAAGAGATCTGACCAAATAATTAAACATTTTATTCTTCCACAAATCCTCCATTACCTTTTTTTAGCCATAATTTTGTGATGCAAAAAAAAGTAAAACACACACTTAAACAGAAATAACTTCAAAGAAAAAAGAAACCATACTGAAAAAAATACTTGTCACAAAGATTGAAACATTTAAAAAACAGTTTTAAGCATCTTACTGGCAATTCTTTTGTAACGGCTAGTGTAGGTGGCAAATTGATCATTTTGGGGGAGGCAAGGAATGGGAAGTGGAGATGCTACAGTGGTCTGTAGACGAATTTATTTGTTTTGCTGCATTAAAGTCAGATACTCTCTTATTAGGTAGGGAGCAGCTTTCAAAGCAGTTGTGATGGACACTGATCTCGAGCCTGGTGGGAGCTTTGCTTGGGGTTATAAAACAAGAGCACGGCAGGGTTGGTACTAAATATCTTAAACCGCATTTACTATATCCCATAGAATTAAGGAGGCAACTGAATTAGGGGTATGTGGGGAGAAACCTCCCCCGTCTGAAATGCAAGAGGAATCTCCAGATTCACATGAGTAATTTTCAGCTGTGTATTATGCTCCTGAAGTAACCTCTTCATTCCCATTGTTTTAGTGTGAAATCATTTCCTCGGGAGATAATTAGAGTTGCTCCATTTATTACATTAAATGATTAGCATGCACTTGAAATGATCCAGTGTATTTTCCTTTATTGCTGATGACTCTTAAATACGGGCCTCCACTCTTAATGGATAAATTAAGGTTGTCTTGGCTCTTTGTAGCCGACTGTGTAGCCAAACAAGAGAGACTTTCTTTTCCAAACATAGGCCAGGTGTGCTGTTGCCGAAGTCTAGGTCTGAAGAGATTCTATTCATATAGATGTCCCACCTGGTTCAACAAAGAGCTCGATAACACTGCTTAAAGGGTTTCTCTCCCAACCCCCTTAATAAAAATGCTTTTAATGACAGTACTTTATCTGGCATTACTCATCCTATGTGCGGAGTAAGTAAGTTTAACATAAAGTGACCCAAGATCACATTTCAAAAAAGTGCCTCACTGGAAAGGCATGCGCATTATCTGAGTAAGCAATATGCCCTACAAAGCCATG